GACCCACAGAAGAAATGAAAGCTATCGAGGGAGCAAGAAGGGCAAGGGGGCGAGGCAAGGAAGCCACGATGTCCTCGAGTGGGAACAACGAAGGGCCAGGTCGCCTGGGCTCTCCTCCACCCGTGCTCTTCCCAGAGCTTGAAGCCTGGGAACCAGCAGGCGGGGGACTGTCCTCTCCTAACCCACCACCACCACCACCACCACCACGCCCTCCCATCTGGGCTGCTGACCTGCATCCTCCTGGAGGCTGGAAAACCACAGTTCCAACTGTTTGGTGCTGGGGGGGAAAGGAGAGGGGGTAAATTTAGGGAGGACGTGGGGAGTGAGGGATGACACGGGAGAGGGGAGGCCTCTGAAAACATGGGGCACCCACTACCGGGTCCTAGCCATGAAGTGCTGGTGGTTCCAAGGCCAATGAGCAGCGGGGGAAAGGCCACTCACTTGAGGAGGCCCAAGATGAAAGCGTGGAATCGGCTGCGGCTGCTGCTCAGCGGGGCCAGGCGGCTGACCTGGCTGTACAGGGATCCCATCGAATGTGTGCAGGAACCTGAGGACAGGGGCCGCCGTCAGCCAGGTCCGGGCCCCGTCCCCATCGGATCCCACTGCCTCACAGCTCACCTGGCTTCACGGATGCCTCCACCACGCTCCAAGGGCTGCTCCTGCGCTGCCCCGTGATGAGGTCCTTCCGGAATGGCTTCAGTCCATCGGCCACCAGAGCATGGAGGGCCGGGCAGAGGGTGGTCAGCACCAGATGCCCCACATCCGGGCTCAGCCGGCTATCCCCCAATTGGGCCTGGGGACAGCGCAAAGCGAGCGGGTCCAGAAGCATGGCTAGCCACCGCCGGCCAAGTGTTCGGGCGCCCTTTCACCTCTCTCCAAATAAACTCACCTTCTGAACCAAGTTCCGAGCAGCCCCAAAATGCGAGATGATTTTGTCCACTGAAGCACTAACAGCTATCAGGAGACCTGGGTGGAGATGGAAGACACATCAAAGCCCCTGGTCTGGGGAGCGGGGGAACGGGGCGGATAGCTGAAGACCAAGGCTGAGGATTCAGACAGAAGGCAGGAAGGGCGAACTACCTTTTTTTTGCTCCTGCAGCTGGCCAGTCCCACTCTGGGCTTCTGCCATCCACAGCCGCTGGGCCCCGGGAACACCGGCAAACGACCAGGAACTACGCACTATGTAAGGGAAGAAGAACGCAATGACGCTTTCTTACCAAGGGTTACAAGGAGGACGCCGCCGACTCCCAAGGGTCACAAGGAGGACGTGGTTTGGGAGTCCTGGGAGAAAGAACGCAGCCACTTGAGGCGGAGAGAGGAGTGTGTAGTCTTAAGTAAAGCCCAGCCCTCGCCACCGCCACCCCCACCTCGGTTCCCATTGCCCTTCCTCTCCGGAAAGTCAGGGAGCCACACCGACCAGCTGGGCCTTTAAGTAGGGAGATGACGGGGTGAGGAACTTGAGGGCTGCACCCACTGAGCACGTGGGAGCCTCGACCAATGGAAAGACAGACGGGAAAGGGTGGAGAGTCTTGGGGAACCCACGTAGTCACCTTGCACCTCGTTAGTGCAAGGCTCCAGCTTCACCCTACTTGGGGGCGGGATTCATGGGGGAGGTGTGGCTAGAGCCTCCTGGGAGGGGACAGTGGGTCAGAACCACCGCCTCCGAGAACTTCCCCTAGCGGAGGAATTCCACAAAGGGTGTGACCCCAGGTCCCTAACAATGGACCCCTTAAGCTGGGCTGGAGACCGGGTGGAGCCGGCGTTCAGCGGGGAGAGCAGTCACGCTCCTCACCCCCAGAACGTGGAGCAAGGCCAGCCTCCCCGGAACTAGTGAACCCGCTAGGAATCTGCCCCACTCCAAGGGCGAGATCTAGCGAGGCACCCTAGGAAAAGGCTGAAACGCAGGCTGCTGGCCCAGGGCAGGAGGGGCGGCGGGCCGAGGCGCGGCCCGCGGCGCTGGCCCAGGTCCGTCTTACGTTGCCTGGGCGGAGGCGGTGGCCTTCTGGTCCAGCGAGGGGCGGTCGGAGGACGCGGTGGTGTTGGCAGCGGGGGGGCGGGAACCTGGCGGGGTGGGGGCGCCGCGGCAGGGAAGGTGCTACTTCTGGGGAAGAGCGGGGAGAGCAGCAGGGCCAGCTCGGGGCTGGCCAGGCAAGGCAAGGCCCCCCGCGTGGGAGGAGAATAGGCTCCCACTGGGGAGAGGCGCACAGGCAGCAGATGCTCCTCCGGGGGACTCGCTGCCCCCGGCAGCTGCAACCGGGAATTGGACCACCCGGTTAAAGGCGTCAAGAGCAGGGACCCGGGTGCGCCCGCGCCCCCACCCTCCAACAGGGGGCGCCCGTCGGCCGAGAACCGGAAAACCGGGGGCCGAGGGAATAGCGGGGGACCGGCTGCAGGCGGGATTGGCGAGGCCAGGTGCAGAGGGGGAGGGTAGCGGGGCCGACAGCCAGGCAAGGAGGGGCGGGAGAAAGAGGAGCAAAGAGTTAGTCCCTTCACTCCAAGACCCACCCGGTTTCCCTTTCCCCAGCGCGCCCTGGCCTTGGGGCAGGGAGGACACCGCAGAAGGAGGGGATGAGGGGCGGGCTCAGGACCCGCCCTCCTACGGGTCTGCGCTTCTTACCCACGGCGTGCGCGCGCGGCTCCTCGGGCTCCGGGGCTGCGGGGGCCTCCTCACCCACCGCGGGGCTGCCAGCCCTGCCCTCCTCCGGCAGCCCCTCGGCGATGGGCTGCAGCCCAAGTCGATTCTTCTTCCTCCGCGGAGGGACAGGAGGGGGAGGCGGTCGAGGCGGGACCAAAGCCCACCCAGCCGGAGGGTCCCTGGGCGGGACTGGCGGCGGCTGGGCTCGGCTTCGCGACCGGAGTTCCTTGAAGGTGGTGACTTCTCGGGGAGGTGCCAAAGAACCTCCCAGGGACCCAGTCGGCGGGAGCTCGGTGTCAGGCGAGAAGACGATGAGCCAGTCGCTGCGATCTTTCTTGGCCTGCGGCACGGGGGGCAGCCCCGGACCCCGCTTTCGCTTCTGGGCCAGCTCATGGAAGGACGTGATTGTCCGATGGGGCACCGGCTCCTGGCTGACGTCACCTCTCCATCCCCCATCAATTTTCCCTGCATCTATTTTCGAACCAGAATTGGTGTTCAAACAAGAAGCCAATTTCCCAGATTCTGTTTTCAAGCTCGAGTTTGTATTTTCATCGATTTTCCAACCAGAGTCACTGTTCTCGACGGTTTTCCATCCAGCTTCAGTTTTTTCTGTGTCAATTTTCCAAATGGGGTTAATTTTCCAACTGGGCTCTGCTTTCCCTGAGTCGATTCTCCCATCTTCGGTCTCTGAAAGCTCAGAGGTAGCGAGATCCTGTTCCCCACTGTCTTCCTCTTCCTCCAAGCCTGGGGAAGGTAGGTCCTGGCAGGTGGTCAGGGCGTTGCAGTTGGAGTCCAGTCCAGGTCCAGGTGGGGAAGATACTCCGGAGCAAGAATCCGGAGAGCAGCAGAAGCTGTCCGGAGAGCATGTGCCAGGGCCCGCGGACGCCAGAGGAGAGCCCGGCTCCACAGGGAAGATGCTGGACTGAGGGTGGGCATCCTCATTGCCAGGCAGGTCGCGAGAGTAGACTGACACCGGGGACTCATCAGGGCTAAGATCTGAGCAGGAGCTGAGAGAGGAGGAGCATCCCGGATCTGAAGGCGAGGCGGCCTCTTCCTCCTCCTGGGAAGGGTCCTGCTGGTTTTCTATGCTGGGTCCGTGCTCCTGGCAGCAGCGGCAGGGCACAGCTGGACTGTTGGAGTTGGCGTCCACCAGGGTGCCGCTGCAGGGCCCCCTGCTTTCTTTGCCCCCTGTGTCTCCTGGGGGCGGGGGTGTGCTCAGAGGCCCCTCCCGTAGTTCAGGACGGCGGGACAAGTGCAGGCCCAGGGAGACATGCTGGAGGTGGATGTGGTTGAGGTTGCAGAGTAGAGCCCGCTGAGGGGACAGCATGGTGCTGAGGACGAAGGATGGCTTCCAGAGAACCAAGAGGATCCAGCCTCTCACACTCACCTACCTGGCAATTCAGATGCAGACCTAGAAGACAAGGGGGGTTGAAACCCAGATACTGAGATTGCGGGTAAGGGCACCGGAGGTCACTGAGGACTAGAGCAGACCTGGGAAGAATCTAGCTGCCTTGGGAGATATTTAAATGAGATTCAAATCACCAGGAACAGGCCATTAGTTTCCACTGCAGTATTTGCTGGTGGAGTCGAACTTAACCTCCAGGGAACTGAGAAAGGAGGGTCAGAGAATGCGGTTGTGCTGATCTTCGTGGGGGTGCGGAGCTTGAAAAAGACTAGGGCTCGGAATAGACCCCAATCCTTTCAAATCAAGCTCTGCCCTTCAGTGTACCCCCTCCCCCGCAGGAAGGAGACCCCGCCCGGATGCTCTAGTCAGGTGAATGGTGGGGAACAAGGCGAAGGATTTGGTTAACACAGGAGAGGGGCCTGGGCTGGGGAGGAGAAAGCATTCAGCTTATCAGTCTGCATCTGCCCCGGTCCAGCTCAAGCCTGCAGCCTGTGTGCCCTCACCAGCTCGCGACAAGGTTTGTCCATTCGCTGTGTTCGTCTCCATCTTCCAGCCACCACCCTTCCCCTCCCATGTCCCCATGCATCCATTTGTCCATCCATCCACACCCATAGACAGAGCCCTCCTCACCCGAGGTTCCTCCTGCAATAGACCCGGCCTTGGGTTCTTCTGCATCCCCGCCCAGCGAGGAACAGAGCAGAGGGGAGGGGCGCCGGCAAAGCCCACTGGGGCTGCGCTGCGCAGCCGCACCCCTTCGTGCACGGGCGTGGCCTAGCTCAGGCCCGCCCCCAATCCCCACGCCACAGCTTGACGCGATGCCTGCATCACCCATCTACAATGCTGCAGCCTTGGGATCAGTGAACGCTGATGCCGACCTGGCTTCCAAGCCGCCACCGCCCACCCCTCCATTCTAGACAACAAAGCCGGACTCCCGATTGACACAAGCATAAAACCACAGGATGCTGTACAATAATTTATTAAGATCCCTCCCTTCAAGCCTCTGCAATCTCGAGGTCACTTTCTCCGCTTGTAGATCTTTTCTGCTAGTTCCAAGAAGATGGATGGGGGCAGGGGCGCAGAGTACTGTTCTATGAGGCTCTTGAGGCGGCTGTAACTGTCTTCCTCATACTTGAAGAACACAGCTGGTAGATCCAGCGCTTCATACAGTGCTTTCACCCGCGCCACCTTCTCTGGGTCCTTCTGCCCGTAATTCTCCTGGAAGCAGGAAAACGGCTTTACTCGGCTAAGTTCAAAGGAACTCACAATCCATTCATACATTCCAGAACATTGGAAAGCCATCCACTCCATTTTGTTGTTTTAGACAGGACCTCATTATGTAGGACCGCCTGCCTCAGACTTTTTTTTTGGGCGGGTGGTGGTGGTGGTGGTGGTGGTGGTGGTGGTGGTGGTGGTGGTGGTGTGGGTTTCGAGACAGGGTTTCTCTGTGTAGTTTTGGAGCCTACCCTAGAACTCACTCTGTAGCCCAGGCTGGCCTCGAACTCAGAGACCTGCCTGCCTCAGCCTCCCAAGTGCTGGGATTGAAGGCGTGCGCTGCCACTGCTCAGCTCTGCCTGATTTGACTGCCACTTGTAGCTCTCTGGCCTGAAACCTTACTCTGGGGACCCAAGCACCCCAGCGCTGAGGTATTGGCTCAGGATTATACCCTGTTCTATGGTCCCTCAGCCAAGGGCCCGACCCCTGCAGCCCCTCGCGGGCACCTCTAAGATCTGACGCTGTTCCGGAGTGGCCCGCTGCAGACACTGAACCACCAGCCAGCTGCATTTGTTGTCCTGGATGTCAGTGCCGATCTTTCCAGTCACGTTGGGGTCACCATAGAGGTCAAGGTAGTCATCCTGGACCTGAAAGAACTCGCCCATCTCCAACAGGATCTTCATGGCATTGGCATGTTCCTTCTCCCCATCGATGCCTGCCTGCGGGGAAACGGGTGAGGCGGCAGGAGCTACATACGGGCACCCTGTCCTCCCCACGCTTCCCCCGGGCTTTGCTTCCTACAGTCCAAACTCTAGTCCTCCCCATCAGTGAGGACCTCCTGGACTCCTAACAAATGAACCCACTGAGGGCCCTCACACCATCTACCCTCAGAGTTACAGCCATTACAGGTCCACTTTCAAATTGTTTGGACACCTCCAACTCCTTCCAAGATGAAAAGAAAACTTAAGAGCAAGGTCAGGATGGACCTCGAACCCAACTACCCCAGCCTAGTCTCCTGCTCCAGTTTTCCTCTGCCCCTCCATGAGCTGCAGCATCTGCAGGCCTCACCCCTGCTCATGCTCCGGTCCTATCTCAGCCCCCATCACAGGGCTGAGTGGCTTGCTTGAGGCCAAACAGTCATAAATGAATGTATGGGTTGTCCCAGTCATCCACTCTGTGCCTTCCTGTCCCAAAACCCACGGGACAACAGTGAGGGCGACACTGACTCACCATGTACATGGCAGCCGCGACAGGCAGGTAGAAAGAATAGAACGCTGTCTTGTACTTGACAATAGATTTGTACCTGAGTCGGGGAGAAGATGCATTCATAAGGGCAAGGCCCATCCTGAGTCCCTCACCACGCAGACATGGCTGCCCCTGGCCCTCACCTCTTTTCAGTGTATCTACCGAGATCCACCTGGCCCTGGGGGGCTGTGATGAGGTCGAGAGTCTGCCCAATCTCCGTCTGATAGGAACTCTATAAAGGAAGCGTAACAGACGGTCTCTAAGGCAGGCTTCCTCCAGAAATGGGCAACGCTGGCATCCCGGGCCTCACATCCCAAGCAGCTGACAACTAAGCAGTCAACAAACCTCCAGGCCACATCACCCCCTTCCCAGGCAGCCCCAGCGGAGCAGCCGAGCACGTGCCCAGAGGCGGGGCTGAGGGAGGGCCTGTGGACCCCGCTCCCCCACAGCAGCAGCGCACCTGCAGAAAGAGCTCCAGCAGGTTGAGGTAGTAGGGCTGCTCCCTGCAGTAGGACTTCAGCAGGCGGTAGATGCAGGCTTCCAGAAGCAGAGCGTCGTTGATGGCATCCAAGCCGATGCCTGGCTGTGAGGAACAGAGTGACAAGTTCCTCTAGCCAGGTTCGGCCATCACAGCAGACCCCCGCCCACCTCCCTGGGCCTCCCACCATGTCACTGCTACCCTCCGTCTACGTTACCTTCTGATACCAGCAGATCTGTCCCCGGCGAGTGAGGGAAGAATCCATGATGTCATCTGACACAAGGAAAAAGGCCTGGAGCTGGGAGGGAGAGTGCAGTGAGGCGCCCGGCTCCCTCGGGAGCCTTCTCCAAGCACAGCTGCTGCTCCGGCCACCGCTGTGCACTGGGTGGGAAGGCTGGGGCAGGGACCTGAGGGGTTCCAGACCTCCTCTCGGAGTCACATGCTAATGGACTACGACAGAAGTCTGCCATGTCTAATCAGCTCTAGGACACCCCTGGTAGCAGGAAGAATATGAAACACCTTCATGCAGTGCAAAACATCGATGAATTTTTGTTCCAGTGACTGGCTGTGCTGGCTAGTCTTAGGCCAACCTGACACAGCTACGGTCATTTGGGAGGAGGGAACCTCCACTGAAAACTGCCCTCACACAGCCCCGTGGGGAAGACTGGGGCAAATTCACTGTGGGTGGTGCCACCCCTGGGCAAGGTGGTCCTGGGTGTACAAGAGAGCAGGCATGGTGACCCACGCCTTTAACCCCAGCACTCAGGACATAGAGCCAGGCAGATCTCTGTGAGTTCGAGGCCAGCCTGGTCTACAGAGCGAGATCCAGGACAGGTATGGCCACACAGAGAAAGCCTATCTCATGGGGAAAAGAGAAAAAGAAAAAAGGAAGGAAGGAAGGAAGGAAGGAAGGAAGGAAGGAAGGAAGGAAGGAAGGAAGGAAGGAAGGAAGGAAGGGAGAGCGAGAGCAGGCTAAGCAGGCCATGGAGGACAAGCAGCGGTATCCTTCATGGCATCACTGGAGTCCTGCCTTCTCTCAGTGCTGGACTGTTATCTGCAAGTGCACAATGAAATTACATCTTTCCTCCCTAAGCTGCTTTTGATCATGGTGTTTATCACTTCAACAGAAATCTAAGACAGTGATTTTTATTTCAAAAAACAAAATTGGCTCGAGAGATGGCTCAGTGGTTGCGGCTCAGTGGTTGCTCTTGCAGTTTTGATTCCCAGCACCCACACGACAGCTCACAACCACCTGTAACTCTAGTTCCCAGAGATCCAACACCCTCTCCTGGCCTCTGTGGGCACTGCACACGCCTGGTACACATACGCAGGCAAAACACTCACATATAAAATCATACAAAATAAACCTGTAATAAAGATTTTAGAAAATCTACTGGGAAGCAGCTCTCTGAGCCCGGGCAGGGCATCCTCCAACAGCCCCATGCTTTCACTTCCACCCTCTTCTGAGAGGAGAGGCTAGGGATGGAGTGTCAGGCAGGGTCCGAAGGGTCCCTCCTAAGACCCGAGAGTCACATACACTTCTAGGAACATCCCAACAGCACCACCTTGGCGGTAGACTATGGGCTAAACAATGACTCTTCTTTAGACAGAGTCACACCCCTCAAATGGCCAAGAAAGACCTTGACCTTCTGCCTTTACCGCCACTTCCCAGGTGCTAAGATCACTTGTGTCTGCTCTGGGGGGACTGAACCCAGCGCTTCATGCATATGCGGCAGCATTCCACCAAGGCAGCTGCTTCCCCGGCCTTTAGACACTCCTCAGTGTCTGCCAAGGGCTCATTTCAAGTACAGGATGAGCGGGCGGTCCCTCTAGATGTCCCCAGAGCCAAGCACTGGCCTCAGAGTGGGGCTTCCCCAGAGCTCTCTGTTAAGGATATGCAAGAGTAGAACACTCAACACCCATGAGCTTTTGGTTTTGTTTTCTTGAGACAGCGCCTCATTATGCTGGCCAGGATGGACTCTATCTCAAGATCTCAACTAACCTCCTCAATACTGAGCTCACATGGGTGTGCAATAACAGCCACTTCTTACTGTCAGAATATGTACTTGTTAAGCATCTTTTCAAGACATAGCAAATTTTTGTTATTGGATTATTTGGTTTTGCTGTGTTGTGTTAAATATGCTGAGGATGGAACCCAGGGCTCACACATGGCAGGAAAGGGTCTTACTACTTTTTTAACCTGCCCTCCCCACCCCAAAATGATATATATATTTTTTCCTTGCTTGCTTTTTTTTACAAACTTTTTTCTATTATTATTGTGTGTGAGGGCATGTGTAGCCCACAACACACATGCAGATGTCAGAGGAGAATGTCAAGGGTTGGTTTTCTCTTTCCATCCATACAGAGGTTCCGGGGATGGCGCTCACTTGACTGGCTTATTCAGAAAGTGATTTACACACCGAATCATCCCATCAACCCTCGTTCACTGAGGGGCAGGGGACGTGTCTGAGTTAGATGCACTGCACAGCATGCAGTGGGGTCAGAGGACACTTGGGAGTCACTGACTTTCTTCTTCATGGCTTCCAGGGATCAAACTCAGGTCTTCAGCCACCCTGCCATTCCTGTTATTTTCAGAAGAAGTTTATCACTATGCCCGGAGTGGTGGTGGCTGGGAGATGGTGGTGGCGCACACCTGTAGTCCCAGAACTTGGGAAGCAGAGGCAGGAGGATCTCTGAATTTGAGGCCAGCCTGGTCTACAGAGTGAGTTACAAATCTTGTGTCAAAAAACCAACCAAACAAAAACCCAGAAGTCTATCAATACATCATTCAAACTCCACAAACTGGTCTATTTAATTGACCAATTCAATAAGAGTGTGAGCCAGGCGTGACGGCACACACCTGTAATCCCAACACGTGGAGGGCTAAAGCAGAGGATCTTGAGTATGAGGCTAGCATGAGCTACACAGTGAGACCCCGTCTCAAAAAAAAACAAAAACAAAGGGCTGGGGATGCAGTTCAGGGATGAGTGTGGTCAGCACAGACAAGGCCCTGGGCTTCATTCAACTTTGAATCCCTACCCACCTGGAGAAAAGAAAACAAAAACAAGCCACAGACATTCCAGAACCAGGAAAGCTAACCACATAAGACAAAATGGAACTGAAGCAAATCAGAGGTAGCCATCCATGGGAGTAAGTATCCTACCTCAGGGAAGCAGCCTTCACTTGGCTCCAGCCAATCGTTCCGATAAGTGAACATGTCAAAACTCTGGGTTATGTGAATACAGTATAAGTGTATTTGTGTAAGTTTGTGTATGTGTGTGTGTGTGTATGGTATATTTGTTTGTTCAAATAAGTACATACATGTGCATTCATGTGGAGGTCAGAGGTTAACAATGTATATCTTCCTTTTTTTTTTTTTGGTTTTTCGAGACAGGGTTTCTCTGTGTAGCTTTGCGCCTTTCCTGGACCTCACTCTGTAGACCAGGCTGGCCTCGAACTCACAGAGATCTGCCTGCCTCTGCCTCAAGTGTTGGGATTAAAGGCGTGCGCCACCACCGCCCGGCTTCCTCATTTTTAAATATATATATAGCTTTGTTTTTATAACAATCTTTATGTATTTTTTCATATATATTGATAAAATGTTAAAGTTAGGAAAAAGTAGGGAATGCTTCATGAATTTGCGTATCGTCCTTGCACAGGGGCTGTGCTAATCTTCTCTGTATCGTTCCAATTTTAGTATATGTGCTCGTGAAGCAATTGCTATTTTATTCATACTGGTGTTTTGTCTGCATGTATGTCTGTGTATCACATGCATGTCTGGTGCCTAAGAAAGCCACCAGAGGAAGTCAGATCCCCGAGGTCTGGAGTTCTGGATAGTTGGAAGGCACCATGTAGGTACTAAAATTGAACCCAGATCCTCTGTAAGAGCAGCCAGTGCTCTTAACCACTAACCCATCACTCCAGCCCCTCCACCTTATTCTTTGAGACAGGGTCTATCACTGAAACTGTGCCAGACTAGCCAGCCAACAACCTCCAGGGACTTGTATGTCTCTATACCCCAGCAGAGTACTACAGATGTGCATGCTGTGTGTGGACAGTGAAGAGTACTACAGATGTGCATGCTGTGTGTGGACAGTGAAGAATTGTTCAGGCTTGCCCAGGAAGCACTTAGCTGACTGAGCCACTGTTCGATGCCCTGGAAATCCGGTTTGTGTAACTGTGTTGCATGTGTTTATGTGGATGCTTGTATTATGCACATACATGGAGACAACCAGGTGCCTCCCACATTCTCCACCTTATTTATTTATTTATTTATTTGAGATGAACCCTCCTTCAGTGAGCTCAGACCTCACTGATTGGCTAGGCTGCCAGTAAGTTCTAGGGATCTGCCTGTCTCTGCACCCAGCACTAGCATTACAGGTGTGTGCCATCATATCTGACTTGTGTGTGCATTTAGTGTGGGCATGTGTGCCTCAACATATGGGAGGAGTGGAAGCCGGAGGAAGATGTCAGGTGTCCTGTCTGTCACTTCACCCTTTTTCTTTGAAGCAAGATTTCTCTCACTGAGCCTGGCAGCCCCAGCCAGCTTCCTGACTCTGCCTGCCATGGCGCTGGGATTATGTGTTCACAGCCACTGCTGGCTTTCCGTGGGGGTGCTGGGATCCAACCACGTGGGTCTTCTGCTTGTACAGCAGACACACACTTAGCAGCTGAGCCACCGCACCAGCCTTAGATGCCCCCTCCCACTCCAACACAGGGTTTCTCTCTGAAGCCCTGGCTGTCCCAGGACTCACTCTGTAGATCCGGCTGGCCTTGAACTCAGATCTGCCTGCCTCTGCTGGGATTAAAGAAAGGTGTACACCAGCACACTAGCGAGATTTAAGTGAAAATTTTCTGACAGTTCTCTGTGCCTGAAGTGATTCACATTGTCTAAATGTGACTGTAGCATATAAGAGACACAGAGACACAAACACAAGCAAGAAACAGGCTTAGGATCATTTTCAGGAAACCCCAACTCCGGAGCCCTCTGCCTCCCGCCACCCTTCTTACCAGTTCTACACACCAGCCCACTGTCAGGGCCCGCTGAAGACTCTCGGCGTCCTGCTTCCTCGGCTCCGCCAGCTCCCGGAATGCTTGGAGCACAGTTAGCCCCCGGTTGTACTTGCCTCCCACAGCATTGTACTCCAGGACCTGAGGCAGGCAGGGGAGAGCCATCGTGGGTCACACAGGAGAGACTGATCCTTTCCTTCTCCCTCTTCTTCCCAGCTCCCCTTGGAGAGACTGAATTCCTCCTCTCTCCATTTCTTCTCAAAGTCCTACGGCATATGGCACCATTTCCAGGACTCAAGTACCTGCTCCATAACGCATACTCAAGTCTTCCTAGAGTACCTCCCCAGGCTGCACTGAAGACACGGCCCCTAGTAGGGAGGGACGGCTAACTCCTATACTCTCGATACTCAGAAGGCGGATGCAGGTAGGCTCATGAGTTTGAGCTCTAGCTAGCCTTGGCTACAGAAAAACAAACAAACAAAATGGCCTCTCCATTTGACCAAATTTGGCCAAAAGAGGGCATGAAGGGATAGCAAGATTCAGAGTGATTTCTAACCCTCCAACGGCATGTACTCCCATTGGGGTGTCCTACTGTGCCTTCCACTGTGCAGAAGTAACTAACTAAAGAGACATCTCTTTAACACCCACAGTAGAAACAAAGAAAATCCCCTCCTTGGTTTTTTCCTCAGAGATGGGTCAGAAACAACATTTATAAAAAGAATTCCAGTTCTAGGCATGGCGGCACTGTAATCGATACAGCACACACACAGGCAGGGGGATGTCAGTTTGAGGCCATGTAGGCTAATGAAACTGCCTTTAAATAAATAAATAAATAAATAAATAAATAAATAAATAAGAAGAGAGGCAAACAGGCAACTCAAGGATGGCAGCAATAGTTCCTTTCCTAAAAATAGGGCTTTGTGATGATACAATAATTTCCCTCAGGCCTCAGGGCAACAGCTTCTTAAGTATCTTATAAATCTAAGACCCTATCTTAAAATTTCAGTGCCCAAAATCAAAACTTCACCAGGTCCAAGGCTCTACTCCCAAGCAAAGCTATTTGGATGGTACACCTGCAGAGCCAAAAGTCAGGGAGGTGGGCTGAGCTATACCAGGGACCTACCTACTCCAGAAGAGACTCGGGTAAGAGCTGTTACCTCCACTCTGACCAAAAGTCATGCAAAATCCACACCTCCAGTGGCTTCTTCAATCCTGAATCCCTCACCTCCTTGAGCCGGGTAATGGCATCGCCTGTCTCTGGGTGGCCTAGTTCATCCTCAGTCAGCACCTTGACGATTTGGGAGAAGTGCTGGATGAAATCCTGCCTTTCTTGGTTACGAGCATCCAATTTCTGGTTCCCATTCATTGTGAGAGACGAGCAAAATGCTCTGAGAAAAAAAAACACACACACAAATGAGAGGTCTTCTCCGGCGCTTCCCTCCCCGAGGCCCCACACCCCATGGCCACACTCACCGACGCTCCTCTGTCCACACTTGGCACCACCAGCGGGCACTGAGCCAGGCCCCCAGGACTGGACACCCGTATGCCAGGGAGGGTCGTTGTAGGGAACCAAACCACCTCTCCCGGGGTGCCCAGCAGGGGGCCGGCAGCAGGAAGACCCCTGCAGATCTCAGCCAGCGGGACAGGGGCATCGTGGGTGGACATGGGGGTGTGGGGGACACCAAGCACTCCCTGCAGGAGCAAGCACCGAAGGCAGATGCTTGGTAGCAGTTAACTCTCTGGTACCTCCCTCAAACCAAGCTTTGTACCTCCTGCATCAGAATGCCCCACCCTGTTCCAGCTTGAATTCAGAATTACCGCAAGAGCACACAAGTAATAAAAATATATGTAGGTATGTCGGGGTGTCTAACAGCCAACAGATCGTCACTTAAACCGAAATGGCTAAAACTGAACGATTTCTACTTCCAGGGCTGCATGCATTCACAAGGTCGGGGAGGCGGCACAGAGAACTAGGGGATGGAAGGTCCATGAGTCGCACTATCCATGGAGAAGCCAAACTCAAGTTCTAGGGGTAGACAGCTGAGCCGACGCAGAGCCGGAACTCGAACCGCGGGGTCCGTGTGGAGGGGAAGGAGGCGAAGTGTGGTGCTGGCTTGTACAGGGGCTGGCTGTGCGAGCCCCCCACAGGCCCTGGTCCTAACCGCTGCGGGTCTCCCGGCAACAGGTGGGCGTGGGAGGGCTCGGCAGGAGAAAGCCGCGGCCGCGCTGGCGGAGGACTAGAGCACCCCGGGGCACAAGAGAGCCGCTCGGCCCGGCCCACCGACCCCCACCCCGCTAACTCCTACACGGGCTGGCCCTGCGGCGCCTCCGAGCAAGCCGCGCTCCTGCCCCAACAATAGCTCTCACCTGTTCCGTAACGCGAGTTCTCCCGGGGTCCAAGATGTTTGCGGCGAACACCTAAAAGCGAGAGCGCGGCGCGTTCAGCACTCTGGGGCTTGTAGTTCCCAGTCCCCTCGGCTCAGTAGGGAGAGCCGAAATGCAAGACTACAACTCCCGGCATGCCGCGAAGCAGACGGCGGAAGACGCGGGCGTGTGCGGCCGGGTGGCCACAGCCGAGCCCGCTGATTGGCTGAGTGGCCTCGCGTGAGCATAGGCCTTGTGACGGCTGACCAATGGAAGTGCGGCGCGCGGGCCATCAGCCCACCAGGAGGTGGGTGGTGTTAGGCGACAATAGGGCCGGACCCATAGTGTGGGAATTCTTCCGCGTGGTTCCCGGCTGGGCCGCTCTTCCAGTGTGTCTGGTGGACGTGGTTAGCAAGACCCCGGAATAACCAGCCTTGCAGCTTCCTGTTTCCAACGCCTCCGGTGCCAGCCGGGTGTGTCGGCGCATTTTCCAGCTCTCAGATGACAGGCAACAAGATGAAGCCAGTTAGGGCTACTCCGAAGACTATGGTTGTACCCGTTCTCAGAACCCCGGAGACCACCAGGGAGCCGGTTTCTGATGGGTCCTTTTATGCAGGTTCAACCTGGGCCCCCGCATGGCAGATGGAAATGTGGCAGCGGCCACGAGCCCGGGTGTAGAGAGTTTTTATAACGAAAAACCATCAGCTGGCAATTGGCAGTTTGGGATTGGGGAGAAGGGATACGGGGCAAGGCGGTTTTTGAAACTATTGGTCTAGACTTTGGGCTCAAAACCACATTTGAAACCATTGGGTTAGACGTTTGGCAGGGAACCACAACTCAATGCACAGGATTATCTGGACTGCTCAGCAGGATTATCTATATATCATCAAGGGCCATCAAATTCCTGGACCACAGCAGGGCTTTACTGCATAAACAGACATAAGCAAACAGTATTTGTTTTTGTTTGTTTGTTTGTTTGTTTGTTTGTTTTGGTTTGTTGCGGGGAGGGAAGTGTTAAAAAGATTTGAATTCCTTGTCCTAAATACAAATTTTGTAGTATTTGATAGAAAAGGCATGTTTAATATTTCTAACTGTAGTTTTCTGCTTCCACAGACACAATCCACAAGGAAGCAGACACAACTGGTAAATTATATGCAAAAATCAGTTTATTAGAAACCTTTAACAAACAATACCAAAAATGAATAAAGCAATTATAGTAGCAGCTAAATAATAACAGTAGCATCTAAAATAATAGACTAATAAAATAACTAGGAATAAATCATATAAAAACAGTGAAGGATTTGTACCCTGAAATTTTTTTTTTTTTTTTTTTTTGCTTGATCTGGCCTAGCAAGAAGGTTCATTGGGAAAAATCACTCTCTGCCAACCTCAGGACCTACAAAAGACGATATTGTTAAGGTAGATGTCCGCAACACAGATCCATCTACAAAAACAAGCAGTCTCAACTTTCAAAGTCTGAGCAAAAATTACTGAAAACAATTAAAAAGTGAACGAGGAATTTATGTGGACCCCACATAATCTCAAAAGACAGCAAAATCAGAGATGGCTAATTCTCCATTTCTCCACATACTGCAATTGAAAGCAATTAAAGTAAGCAGTAGCTGTATAAACATGACATGACCACTCCGTGTTGTGGTTGGTGGGGAGGTTTTTATTGTAGACAGGAGAGACAACAGCCAGAGGCAATTTGGAAGAGTCCAGAGTAGAGAGAGAAAATAGTAGCTTGAACATGGCCAGCGGACTAGAGCTGGCCAAGAGAGGAGGTGAGAAGGAATGATGAATAAGAGAAGACCAAGAAAGCAGAGCTGAGGTAGGGTTGTGAGGAGAGAGGCTTAGGGAGGGAAGTTTCTGAATTCCCAAAGGGGACTTGGGGAGGTGAGAAAACAAACCCAGGTACCTGTGGTACCTGGGGAGCTTGGAGACCGGCGTGCTCTTTTTTTTTTTTTTCTCTTCTGCCAGTGGTAAGGGAAGTGGCCCCTTTGGCAGAGGGGAACGGGCTTCACAAGTTCCTGAGGAAAGCTGGGTTTGGCCAGAATTTGGGAAAATGGAGTTTCCTTTGCACCTGACAGTAACGACATAAGGAACACATACAAACCAAGGTATCAGAAATAAGAATTAAGAAACAAACTCCTGCTCAGCAGTAGTGGTGCATACCTTTAATCCCAGCACACAGGGAGGTAGAGGGAGGCAGAGTTCAAGGCCAGCCTGGTCTGCAGAGTGAGTTCCAGAAGAGCCAGAGCTAGACAGAATCCCTATCTTGAAAACAAGAGAAAAAAAAGAAACAAACAAACCAACTACTGGTACTAGCCAATTAACTCTGTCAAGATGCCAAGTCTGTGCAAGGAGAGAGTAGTTGTCAACAAACTGAATTTCCAAATGCAAAAGAATAAATTGAGATTACTATCTCATACTGAGGGCCTAGGAGGTAGACTCCCTGATAGGCACACAGATACAGAGAGGGCCATGACTACATTGTTGCACGAATCCTAAATGGCCTTATAATAATAAAAACCCAGAGCCAGATAGCAGGTGAAAGGTGAAAGCTTAGAGAAGCAGAGCAAGCCACCTCTTAACTAACCAATTCCTCAGCCTGCAAGAGCCTGAGAAGACCTGAGTTCTTGTCTCCTCTCACCTTATATTCCTTTCACTGCCCAGCCATATTACTTCCTGCCTCAACCTTCCTAGTGCTGGGATTAAAGGTATGTGATCTCAAGTGCTAGAATTAAAGATGTGTGCCACCACTGCCTGTCTGTTTCTAGTTTAGATTGGATTAATCTTGTGTAACCCAGCTTGGCCTTGAACTCACAGAGATGCAGACAGATCTCTGCCTTTGCCTCCTGAGTGCTAGGATTAAAGGTGTGTGCTACCACTGCCTTATCTGTATGACTAACTCTGTGGCTAGCTCTGATCTTCAGGCAAACTTTTATTTCTTAGATTACAAGCAATGTATCACCACATTTCCCCTTTTTTGTCTAAAATAATAAAAGAATGTTATAACTAATATAAGAAAAACTATATACAAAAGGTACTATCCATAACCGATTGAACAAATAAAAACCACCCACTCTACCTTTTGGGAATGTGGGTGTCATGTTCTTAAAACTACTTCCTGCTATCTGGGGGTGATGGCATCTTTAGTGTAATGAAAAGAAAAATTTTGGGTTAATTGTCAAGTCCTGGGAGAGATAGCTGTATCATTTGTTGTCCAGTCTCTGTATAATGGGAAAGTGCAGGCCTTGTCTTAAGTCCTTGCTAAAGCAGTCTGTGAGGCTGGATCATCTCAGCTAACCATCTCAAAATTGTCCTGGGCAATTTATAGTCCAAAGTTGATCTTTAGGTGGTGTTTGTCAGCTTAATGGTGTCATTATCATAGTCCATGTGGAATCATTGTTGTGGGGCCCCATCCTTTTGGAGACTTCAAAGGTCACTGTTAGGTATGGTCATGGTTCCCTGCAGAAAGCTGATAGAGACTCAAACCCAAAATCATGTACAGGAAGCTAGGTAAAGCCTTTTATCTAGAATTAGTACTCCATATGACCATTAATATCATGACAAAAGTTTAAGATATGTATATATATATATATATATATATATATATAAATTTTATAAATTTTGATGTAAAATTCATACCTTAAAAAAGTTTTAAAGAGTAAAAATAAAACCAAAGGATTATGAGATTAGTAGCAATAGAATACTTCCTTAATTTTGGTTTTTCTTCTGTCCCATAATAGGTGGCTTTCCTGACATGATACAGAGATTTTTGCATTTTCCTTTAACAAGCATGCTTGGATTTAGAAAAGGAGAGAGTCCTGCTCTAACTCCAAAGCCAGCTTTAATTTTTAGTTGAACTGAGACTATATAAAGATCATTTGTGTTATCTGTTGGTAGAGAACAGCGTAAACAAACATTTATAAAATTTTATCCTGTTAGATATGTGATATACCAATAGGCCAATTTACTTTCTCTTGGGACGTTTTTATATGGATGATTTGTCCTTTTTCTTCAGATGTCTCACTTGTGCAGTGTTCTACGGATTCGTTAGCCTTCATTCTCCTGAAAGACAAATCAAAACCCTTCCCTAACCCTAACTTTGAGAAGTGTCCCTTTTGGCAAGTTATATCTGAGCAAATGAAAAGCATTTCTTAGTCATATAAGTTAGTTTAAATTGGATGGTCATGCTGGTTGTTCAAATCAAACCTTTATCAATTTTGGTTTTATTCATAGCTTTTCTTCTCCTGCGGAAACAAAAGCAAAACCTCGTCCCCAACGTAACACATATCCTGGTTTCCAGTCAGAGGTCAGCACATCTTTAAAATATATAGGTTGATTTAATTCTGTAGTTTTTTTCTATTATCCAATGTCTCCTTTCTGTTTATTTAGCATATCCTTTAGAGTTCAATTTGATCTTTCTATGCTTGGCCTGGAGGATTGTGTGGTATACCTGTAATATGCTTTATATTGTAATTAGCAAAAAAAAAAAAAAAAAAAAAAAACCTGTTCATTTTACCAGAGATATATGCTGGAGCATCATCAGTCTTAATTTGTGCAGGTATACCCATGATGGCCATAACTTCTAGCAAACATGTGATTACAGAATCAGCTTTTTCAGAACTCAGAGCAGTTGTCCATTGAAATCCTGAATAGGTATCAATGGTGTGGTGTACATATTTTAATTTTCCAGTTCTGCATAATGAACACATCCATCTGCCAGATTTTATTCCTTTGAGTACCCTTTGGTTTACTTCCTGCAGGTAGTGAGTTTGGTTGTATAAAGAACAAGTAGGACATTTCCTTATAATTTCCTTGGCTTGTTGGCAGGTTATAGAAAAATCGTTTTTCAAACCCTTACTATTGACATGATGTTTTTTATGAAATTTT